TGTTGGCAGCAGAGCAGATGGCTGGCAGACCCCGACCCGGTGACGGGAGAGCTGGCTTCATTCTTCAGGGCCTTCGAGGCCTGATATCTGTGACCCTACTGAGAATCTGAATTTCTTTGGCCTTAGTTCTGCCACTGGCGGGTGAGCGGACAAGCGGGTGTCCCCCTGAGGTTCCTCCCGGGACTGGAATGCTGCAGTGCCAGCCCCCTGCACCCTTGTGAGGGGATGCCTTCCTGGGGGACTAACGTGGACGCCTAGCACAGAAGCCCCGCCTTCAACACAAACCACACCAAAGGAAGCGGAAGAAAGCCTGGGACATCATGAGTCTAATGCCAGCTTTTTGATGCCCCTCGTGTCCAAATCAAGCGAAGGCCACGGGGCTCTCATGTTCTAATAATCAGACCACCAGACAGTAACACGGCTAATGAATAAGTGACCTCCTCCCTCCTCATTCAGTAGGAAGGCAGTGATCAGTTTCATGACAAGATATTTCTAATGGGACAGGAAGAGGAAAACAGACTTGGCCTAAAACCTGAGACAGACACCCTTCCTTTTACGTCCCTTAGGGATGGGTTTTAAAACGCAGCCTCAGGTAACCAGGATGTCAAGTGACGGTGCCATAAGCATTGACACCTGAGAAGGGAGTTGGGGACTCTCTAGACTTCCTGTGGGTGCTGGTCCCACTGGAGGGGGATGGTAGGTGGTGGGGCTGAGAACTTTGAGACAGGAGAGGTGCATCTGAAGAAAATGCGGGAGAAGGGAGTTTCTATTACACAACTGGGTGTATTCTTCTTTGGGGTCGCCAGAGTGGTAACCTATGCTGGCTTTGACTGCGGTGGGCCACTTCCCTTGCATCTCATCAGTGTATGTCTACAAAGAACTTCTGGCTCTGTGGTAATGCAGCTCCCAGCACGGCTCAGTCAACTTAACACCTACACTCCCGCCTCCACATGCACAGTTGGGCCAAGTGCCTGCCAGGATGAATGGAGTTTGCATAGACACAAGATGTTCTGCACATTGCACTTCCTGTCCTCCTTTAGAGGCACCAAGTGTTTGATGCTCTAGCCAGGGGCCCTCCTGGTGAAAAGGAGAAGAAAACCTGTTTAACCAAGCAGCTCTCAGAGCAGGAAACAGGACAAATGGCCCCTTTCTGGCTCCCAAAGCCTAAATTCCAGTGTCATTAGATGAAGGAGTGACAAGAATAGTTCAGAGGCAACAGTTCACCCACTGAAATGCCTACCCTCCACAGAGCACACTTCCTGTGGGCTTCTCACCTCCAACATCCGGGACCGTCGGATAGTGATGTGGGTGACATGAGGTGAGGCGGAGCTGGTCTCCACAAGCCCCAGTTTCTCCTTCTCCTTGGTGACCATATTTCGGAACAGGAGAACTCTCTGAAACGAGCAACGGTGAGACCAGAAACAGGGTCAAGGGCTGATGATTCCCTAAAACACACTGGACAAGATTCATGGTTTTAAGTCATTTGAGACGCAACTGGAATGGGATGCTTCCAGAAGTTAAAAGTGACTTGAGGAAACAGGAAACATTCCCCAAAACATTCTTGGGAATTAGAAATATAGCTTCTTCTCTCCCTCCTACATTCTCTCCAGCCAGACAGGCTGTCCGTCTGGCTCTCCAACAGCACTGCATTCTCTCACTCGAGGCCTTTAAACACTGCCCACTTTTGCCTGTGCTCCCGACCCCTTTCTGGGCTCCCACAGCATCCAGCCCTGTGGCACACACCCCACTCTACAGGACTGCCAGTTCATAGTATCTTCAATCCCTGTACCCACAGGACTTAGCTTTATGCCCGATGGATTAAGATCCAATCACGGTTTGCATCTGCTGAGTGAGGGAGCACGTTTATTTATTTCCAACTGGGTAACAGAGATGGAAAGCCCGGAGCCACGTGGTGGAACAGAAAGATACACAGGGGCCCTGCTCTGAGTGCGACTCACGTTTTTGTGAGGAATGACGTGAGGGATGTACTGCAGGATCAGCTGGGCCCGCTTTCTGTCCTTGTCCAGTTCTTGGAAGAGCACGCTAGGTTTGAGATCCCTTAAAAAGACATGGGCTTGGGATAATGAAAACAAAAAAACCACCATTCTTGGCAAACTGCACCCTGCAGGCCACATGCAGCCTGCCGCCCATTTTTTGTGAAATTTTAATGGGACACAACCACACTCATTCATTACATGTTGTCTCTGGCTGTGTTCGTGCTACAGAGACTGGTCTGCAGAGCCTAGAATAGTCACCGTCAGGCCCTTTACAGAAACAGCTGGCCAATCCTGCTGTAGTGCCACAACTGACACAGGAGTTGACATGTCCTTGATGAGACAATGTGGACACAATCTTATGCAGGGGTCCTCAAACTACGGCCCGCGGGCCACATGCAAATACAAATATTGTATTTGTTCCCGTTTTGTTTTTTTACTTCAAAATAAGATATGTGTAGTGTGCATAGGAATTTGTTCATAGTTTTTTTTTAAACTATAGTCCGGCCCTCCAACGGTCTGAGGGACAGTGAACTGGCCCCCCGTTTAAAAAGTTTGAGGACCCCTGATCTTCTGTTTAGTTGCAAGAGGATTCCCTAACCCCATCCCCCAAAACACCTAGCTGTAGTTTTTATCCTGCTAATTCTGATTTTTAAAAACTGCCATTTGCCTAGCATTACCTGTAGCTCAGTTCAGCTGAACATTTTTCTTCTTCCCAGTTTGGATAAAAAACACTTGCTAAATGTGACCGGGCTTTGCTGCTATAATGAGCTCTAACCATCCTCAATGTATGCATATTTTAAGAGAAGGAACTGCTAGGGGATCTGTCCCGACAGGTGCAGGAAGAACGGGTCTCCTTATTCAGGTGAAAGATGAAGGAGAGGGCCAGGTTCCTCTCTGCCCTGGGACGTGAGTGCAGCGCGCTCAGGCAGCTCTGCTGTGGGCAGCGCTTACAGAGGCGACTCTGCCTCCATAAACCCGTCTCCCCACCCAGGACACTCACTTTCGCAGCCAGTGGTCCTCAGGGGCGAAGCGGCGCCGACAGTCCCGCTCATACAGCACCATCAGCCACCCATGGACGGACTGGAACAGCTCCAAGGTCTCACCCTTGGCATTCTCTGTGGGCACACAAGCAGGAGGCACCATCATGAAGCTGATCAGAGTGGAGACGAACTGAAAGGACAGCTCTGGTCATCAAGTCCCACCAAGGCCCCGCCTCCTCCTGCCCCCCCGTGAATCCTGCATGGAACCAACAGAGCTGAAAGGCGCCCTGGGTGTGTTTGAAGTGTCTGCAGGACTGAGTATCTCTTAGGCACATTCACGCCGCCTCCCACTAGCACATCATCTAAGACCCTATTAATCTAAGGAGCTTTGTACTGAACCACTGGAAACACATCAGGAGGTGCATCTAACCAGAGGTGTGAGCTGGCACACGTTTATCTTCTCAAAGATAAAGAATCAACACAAAGAATCAAAAGGAGATTTGGGGCAAAATTAATCATTACTAATAATTCCTGATACAAGCAAATCTTGAAAAACATGTGGGAGAACAAGACTTCTTTAACTTCACCACTGTCTTAAGTGGTCATAGACAGAGAGCGAAAAAATGAAACTTCTAATTAGGTGAAGAAATGTGCATTTTCAGTTAACGTTGACAGCTAATAAGGCTAAGAACCAGCTGTGTTCCTGACTGACGTCTCTGCCTGTAGCATCAACTGAACAATGGCCGCCACCTTTACCTTACCTACGATGCCATCCCAGATCATCTTAAACACAAAGGAATTCAGAAAAGAGGAGATGGTGACCAGCTCTTCCAGTTTGAATGAAATTTGTTCTTCATAAACTTCAATGTCATCAAGGATCCTAAATCAGACAGAAAATTATTCATAATTATCCACCGAGAAAAGGCAAAAAAACTAGATCTATACTTCTTAGAGGACAAAATAAGGTAACAAAATAAGTTCTATCTTTTAGAGATACTTACTGTAAAATTTACAGATAAAGTAGTAAATGTCTAGGATATGCTTCAAAATATGAGGGAGAGGAGAGTGGTGGGTGTACAGATGAAGCAAGACTGGCAATGAGTTAAGCGTTGAAGCTGGTGATGGGTGCATGAGAGTTCATTGTACTATATTCTTTCTACTTTCTATTGACTTGAAATTGTCCCCAGTAAAAAGTTAAAAATACAATTAAGAAGAAAACAATAAGCCCTGCTCTGTATTTTAGATCTATCTGAAAATATCCTAAAATGGCTCCATTCCCTTTAGAATGTGAGTCACTCTTGGGTCACCCGTGACCCAGCAGGTCAGGGTCTGCACCAGCAGCTGCGGACACTGCTCTTGCCACCAACCTCTCACTGAGCTCTTCCCTCCATGATTCTTACCCAATCTGCCACCTACCAGTCCCGGAGGCCTCCTGCCAAGGCTTCTAGCCTGAACATAACTGCCTAAGATCCATTCTCTCATAATTTTTCACCAGCCTTTTGGGGGAAAAGTGGAATTAAAAGAATACCAAATACACGAGTAGACACCTAAGCTTAAAGAACAAGGAACTAAATGGGACTAGCATTTGTTAATTTCTCCCTCTGTGCCAGGCACTGTACTAAGTACCTGACATGCCTTTTCTCATTCACTCCCTATCACACTGGTAATGTTATCTCCGTTGCCCAGGGCATCTCGGTAAGTGGTAGAGCCAAGTTTTGCACCCTGACTCCCTGGCTCTGCAAGCTTCCAGTAAACTAGCACAGCGAGTAAATGACCGAAGTAATTTAGACCCAGAGACTAGGAACCCCAAAGGCCACATTAGTGGTGCTGACCCAGCTCCCTGAAAGGATAGGAACTAACAACTGCTGAAGCCCTACTATGTGCCACCCACTCTGTAAATGTTTCCTCATCTGATGCTTCTCAAACGTCATTTACAAAAGCAAGCAGTGGACCCTGCCACACAAGCCCAAACCTGAGCAGGAACCGCATCTGTAACTGCTTCCTTACTGCCACTGCCTTCTAGGGAAGGAGTCCAGGCCCGCAGCAGTCAACCTACGTGATGAGGTGCCGGGAGCAGTCACAGAACAGCATCAGCATGGCCAACAGCTGCTTGGACTCTTCGGTGTCATTGTTGAGGCATTCCAAGAAGAGCTTCAACCCTCCGTGGGGCCCCAGCTCACAGATAAACGCCCACAGTTTGGGCAGCAGGTCATCAAGGTAAGTGAGACCTGGGAAAAGACAGAGAAACCCAAGCTTCAGGTGGGGCTCCCGCTGGTCCATTATTTCCCTACCCACCAGGGAGACAAACACACCTACTAGTGAACATTCAGTGTGTGAGAGAGAAGGTGCGATTACCAACAAAATCATTATCACCACGAGAATAAGAGCTAACACGTAACGGGTGCTTACTCTGTGCCAGATACTATTCCACGTACTTTACACGCATGATCTCCTTTCCAGTGTGAAACTCAATGTTATCTAAAGTGCAGGCCAGAGAGGTTTAAGTGGTTCAAAACCACACAGCCAGGTAGTGTCAGACCAAGAGCAGAACCCAGGTCTCAGAGATCAGCAAATTTCTTTCTGGAAAGGGCCAGAGTCAGTGTTTTTAGGCTCTGTAGGCCAATCTCTGTCACAACTACTCAATGCAACTATGATAGCACAAAAGCGGCTGTTAGACAATATGGATGTAGCTTTGTTCCCATAAAACTTTATAAAAGCAAGTAGTGGATTGGCTTTGGCCCACAGGCAGTAGTTTATCGATACCTGCTTTAAACTATCTTACACGCATGGGATTGAACCTGCAATCCAGATATGTGCCCTTGACCAGGAATCGAACCTGCGACCCTTCACTGTTTGGGCTGACACTCTAACAACTAAGAACAGTGGCCAGGGGGAAGCAGAGGACATCTTAGCCTTCTGATGGCAGAACTCTCCAAGCCCACGAGCCCTGCCCCCAGCCGGTCATCCCCCGCTCGGCAGATGGCACCACCCACACTGGCACTGGGCTAAAAACCTGGCATCATCTTTGAAACTGTTAGGCCCCACTCCCTCAAGTCCAGTCCGCCTCTGAAACATCAAAAAACCCTCCTGCTTCCATCTCCATCACCACCCCAGTTCCGCTGTCCTCAGGGGGCACTTGGCAATGTTTGGAGACAGGTATGGGTGTCACAACTAGGGGGAAGGAGTGGGTGCTGCTGGCACCTACGGGTAGGGGCCAGAGGCTGCAGAAACCCTACAATGGACAGGCTGGCTTCCACTACAAAGAATCATCTGCCAAACCGTCAACCCTCCTCCAAGCCAAGCCTACATCGTCACTCATTACTCCACCATCATAGGCCTTCATTACATTGCATGCATTCCCCATCTTATGCCTGGTCTCCCCACTAGGATATAACCCCCTTGGGAACACAGACCCTCGCTCTTTTCACCTCTGCACCCTCAGTGCCTGGCATAGATGGTGCTCTGTGAACATGTGAAGATGAAGAAGTAAGTGTGAAAGGGAGAAGCAGCAAGAATTTATGTTTTATTTTTTTTAATTTTTTTTTTAATATATTTTATTGATTTTTTACAGAGAGGAAGGGAGAGAGATAGAGAGTTAGAAACATTAATGAGAGAGAAACATCGATCAGCTACCTCCTGCACATCTCCTACTGGGGATGTGCCCGAAACCCAGGTACATGCCCTTGACCGGAATCGAACCTGGGACCTTTCAGTCCGCAGGCCGACGCTCTATCCACTGAGCCAAACCGGTTTCGGCAAGAATTTATGTTTTAAAACAAAAAGTAAAATGCAGCAGAGAAGTTCTGAGTCCTTTATGTGGTAAACAGCTTCATGGCTTCCAGACCTCTGTCCTCATGACACCAGTCTATCCCAGCTCCTGCACCACCACTTAAACCCTGACGCCCAACTCTTGGCTCACAGGGGGACTTTCTTCCTTGCTCAGCTGAAAAGGACAATGGTGGGCATACCCATGCCATGATGTGTTATGCAGCCTATACACACGAGGTTTCTGAAGAATTTCTGACAAGATAAAATGCGTATTAAGGTGACTAATGGAAAGGAAAGGATAAAACTATATATTTCAATCTAAATATATATATACAGATAGCACACTCAGGCACAGGTAGTCATGTTTGGATTGCGGGATAAAGAATGGCTTAAGCTTTTTTTTTTTTCAGCTTCCCTGTCTTTTTTAGTTTTCTGTTAAAATTTTTTTAAAAGTAACTTTTTGCCCTGGCCAGTGTTCTCAGTGGTTAGAGCGTCGGCCTGGGAACCAAGGAGTTGCGGGTTCATCCCCCAGCGCTGGTCAGGCGAGTGCGGAAAGTGGCAGGTCAATGTGTCTCTCTTACATCGATGTCTCTCTCTCCCTCCCCCTACCTTCCACTCTCTAAAAAAGCAATGGAAAAATATCCTCAAGTGAGGATTAAGAAAAAATAGTGATTTTTTAAAAGCAAATAGTACTTCATAATGAGAATCAAGAGCCAGGTCACAGGAATGAACTGGAAATGCCGGGATTGAGATTAGTTTGAGCCGTTCAACTACTCGGCCTCTAAGAATGGCTCACAAATACCCTCTTTCAAGGAAGCCAGAAGAAATCCACGTGTTCCAAGCAAAACTGTCGGCCAGACGTGAGCCAGAAGAGGCCCGGGGCCTGCACACCTGTGAGTATCTGCAGCCGGATCTGGGTGAGAGTGGTCAGCGAGGTCTGGTAGAGGACGCAGATGCTGCACACCTTCTGCACCTCCGCGGAGTCCACGCGTTTGCCCCCGACGGGCTTGAGGATGTTCCGCACCGACGCAGACTTCTGAAACGCACGCTTCAGCAGATCTGGCACGGAGAGAAGAGGAACGGGTGAGCGGAAGTGCCAAGTTCAGCCATCGGCCAAGTCCCACCCTGTCGGGAACCGCATTCCAATAAAGCTCCGAATTTACAGCCGCACCCAGTGGGCTGCTGCCTGATTCAAGGCATCTCCTTGGGATAAATTGGAAGCACATTAACCATAGGATTTTAGGTAAAACCCAAAGACATCTTCAGAATCAGAAAATCCGATTCTTACAGGGGATCCTTTTACTGAACCACTTAACTTCAGCACCCACAAAGGTAAAAATTCCGAGGACTATAGTAGGGAAAGGGGGGAAAGGGAGCCCTGGTGGATCCCCAACTTTCTGCGCTTTTATTCAACTTGGGGCTGCACTCTACTTTTGTTTTGACGCTTCCCATGTATATCCTGCGGAAGTTGTATTCGAGAGCCCATCGCACTGACAGGTGCACAATGGGACTTTGCAGCACAGTGGCTGGCGGAAGAAAAGCCGCCCGCACCTGGAAATCAGCAGGTCATTCCACTGAAGTATGTGTTGGCGGCAGTTCCTTCACTTTCGCCAGAGTAGGCCACAAGAAACCTTCCCCCAGGACCCACTGCTGAGCTGGAAGCCGGGTCAGGCACCCAGTGGCCCCTTCATCAGCAGCCCCACGTGGGAGAGTTCGTTTATGATTACGAACTCAGAAAAGCTCTACTTCCCCTAAGAAACAGGCCCTCGTCTTTATGAGAAGAAAGGGTCCCAAGTCCCTTTTCATTTTGGCAACTAGAAATTCAGAGCCAAGTGGAAGTTCAGAGACAACCACGGCGGCCCTCTCGGATCCTTCATCAGTGGACATTCTCTACACACGACCTTGATTTTGTTCACCCATTTCTATTCCCCAGCTCCCTGTTTTCTACTCCTAAGGACTTCCTGCCACTGTTTTGCTAAACGTAAAGTGATTTAAGCAGCTTCCAGGTCTGTGGGAGAGGGGAGGGTGACAGGAACAGAGTGGGCAGGTGCTGCCCCTCAGCCCCCCGCGGCCACGGCCGGGCCTGCTCCCGCCACTCACTCTTCACGGGAAGCACGTTCTGCGGGGAGGCCGGCTGCACGTGAGCTGCCGGCTCCTGGTTCTCCAGCAGCTTCTTGCTCAGGATGTCACTGAAGAAGATCCGGATCAGAGGCACCCCCCACAGGAACTGCAGCTGTTTGGTGACCAAGGGCATTGACTCGTTGAGGCTGGGAGAGAAAAGGAGACCAGGGGGTCGGGTCTGCCCGGCGGAGGGCCAGGGAGAGCCCCCGCGGTTCCCTAAGGGGCCTTGCACTGAGAGGTGTAGCAGGACCTGCCACTCAACATGGTCGATAAGATCATACTTTAAAAAGGGGGATCCACAAATTGCTGCTGAGGCCTGATGTGGAAGACACTGCCCTTTATCTTTCCTGTCGCTCCACCCAGACTTCCTGTGCTGCCAACAGCACTACTGCTCTCCCTCGGTCCCCACACTCCATGTCACAGCATCTCCCAGATGCCCTTGATCTGCCTTCACCCTGATTCCATCCTGTTGACCACTCAGTGGACAAGCCATCTCAGGCCTGCCATCTTGTCCTGTTCACAGCCAGCTGCAGGCCTGGCCCACACCCCGCTAACTCTCCAGCCTCCTAGGAGTCTCCCTGCCTTCAATTGCTCCTTCCTCCACTCCACACCGCACCCCAGGATCACTCACACCCTGAAACCCGCCTTCATCACCTCCCCGCTCCAGACCCTGTAATTCCTCCCAGCATCACAGTGGTAACGGCCACCACCCACTGAGCATGGGCCAGGCCTGCGGGAGGCTGACACGGTTTATGTCATTCAACCCTTTGAGACGCCTGTACCCCATGTTTCAGATGAGAAAAGTGAGGTGAAGCGACTGTCCAAGGTGCCCCCAGAGAACAGGAGTGCAGCTGAGCTCAGGCTGTTCACCTGGTGCTAGTCTGCCCCACTCTCTGCCCACAACATCCCGATGCCCAACACACAGGCCCTCTTCAGTCTGGGGCAGAGCTCTGGTCGGCAGTTGATAGTCTTTTTAACTGGATGCCACTCAGGCACAAGGAAAAGGGAGAAAAGCAGGGACTTCCTGCCCTGGCCCTCAGTTTTCTGCCTCAAGAGTCCCCAGCAGGGACCCCAGGCCTCAGGCAGACATGGAAAGGAAAACAGCTGAGCAGCACGCGCCTCAGGTCCTGAGACCACCTCATTTCAGCCCAGCGTGCACATTTAAATTTGTGATGCCACCTTACTTCACCTCTACTAGAGGTGTTTTTTAAAAAAATATTTTTGAGCTCTTGATTAAAAGTGTTAACATTTATTTTCCAGCTCCTGAAAAACATGTGGAGTGACTTCTATTCCCTTTGAATCATGTACCTTATTTTAGTTTCCCCAAA